TAGAAAATTCCCTTTTCAGAAGTCAGAATCACTGTGTTTCAAACTCTTCATCTCCTTCGGAAGGCAATGCAGTATTATGGTGTTTTTTCAAATCCTTGCTTTAAAATAAGGATAAGTAAAGAAAAAGGGAATGCATGATCCTGGATCTTTCAGTGCACTCTTGTACTTGTCTACTCAGAAGTAAATCTAACTGAATTTAATGGAGCTTACTTCCACAATTTTAAAGAGTTCTGGAATCAAACAATATCCAGCTGATGTTCTCCCATCATGGCTTTTAACATCTAGTCACCCATCTCACCATTTTCTCTCACATCCTGGGAATCTCCAGACAGAGGCCTCCTAGTGCTACCACTAAAAATACATTGTGAAGCTATAGTCTACCTTTTCTTCCTTAATGAGCCTTTTGGGGGGAAAGGCAAAAGACCAAAGAACAATGGTGGAAGGGAAAGGTTAGAAATAGGAAATAATATTTGCTGGACTGGCCCCCTTTCCCTTAAAATTTCTATGAGTCAGGCAGGAAGACTATATAACAAAAGCCTTGGCAATGGGAGAAAAAGAGATAGACAGCATTGTGGTGGTAGAAGTAATTGAGACTAACAATAATAATGGACTCAAGCTACAAGAAGCCAGATTTAGGAAGAATATCAGGAAAAAGTCTTAACTGTTCGAACAGTATGACAATAGAACCAATTACCTTGGGAGGTGGTGAGCACTCCAACACCAGAGGCATTCAAGAGAAAATTGGACAACCATCTGTCAGATCTGCTTTTATTTGGATTCCTGCATTGAGTAAGGGGTTGGTCTTCATGGCCTTATAGGCCACTTCCAACTCAGTTATTCTATGATGCTATGAGACGCCTTAAAATTTGTCCCCATGTTGAGTCATGACAGATGCATACAGGGTATAATACAACAAATCACATAATAAGATTTTCCAGAGAATGATGTAAAACTACTATGTAACAAATGACTAGGACGTTTCCCACCTGATTTTTAAAAACCCAACTAAAAACAGAGACCAGATAGCCTGTCTACCATTTGGCAATCTACCAAACGTTCACCCAGTTCCTGGGGAGCTCTCAACCACTTGTCCGTAATTCTCAAAGTCAACTTTCACATTATTTTTATTATTTTTTTCTCAGATTCTATAGAGTTCAGTGTTGTGCATTGGCACTCCAGAAAAAGTGTCGCATTTTGCACAGAGATATTACCACAGTCAGATTACATGTACTTTGGGGTCCACAGGTCTGGCTGGGAAAGAAACCTCTGATTTATTCCAAATTCCAAGACAGCCATGCTACCTGATCATTCCAAGTTTAAAAACTATTGGATTTAAAATGAGAGTATAACTCCTAGCAGTGTTCATAGAGATAGTTGAACTGAGTGCATGGATGGATAATCTTTGGCAAGATGGATTTTGGCCTCCCATCAGCCTGCACAGTATGGGCAATGGGAAGAAACCATGGTAGTTGTCATCCTAAATATCTGAAAGAACAAATGTTCCACCATTTTGGGACTTGAGTGCATCTCGTGATAATGAGAGTTGTCAGTCTGGAAGGATAATGCTTGCAAGTCAAAGCTGAGTAAGAAATCTGAATCTGATTCCCTACCAGAATAGGATGCAATGCTTTGTCCACACAGCTAAACATACTCAGGAACTCAAAAAGAAGGTCCTCAGAAAGTAATTATTTATTCCCTCACGACCCATTTTTAAACTGATCATATGGATTTCATCCAAGGAAGCAGACATATACAGTATCAGTAAACATACTAACATTTGTGTTTGTACAAATTGCTGTAGCTTCACCTCGTAAAATTGCTATTGGTCCAATGTGGAATGTTGTTACTAGTATCTTAATTGTGGAAATGTAGACATCGATCCATTTCAATGCCATGGAAAAGGATTCAAAACTGAAACCAAAAAGTAAACAGACACATAACAAAAACGCTAGGCCAAGACTGATTGCTCATTGAAGTACAGGGTGGTCATTTTGTTTGTCCTCAGTCCATATCCATAGTTGTTGTGTGGACAGAGTTGTATATCCACTCTACTTCAATTTAGAATAACCCCTGCTCTGTTGACCTCCTCAGAGTGGTGTCTAGCTAAATCCCCATATCTTTTTTATTTCCAGTCATTAGTATCCAAGAGGAAAGAAGCATTCAAGATCATGGTTATCAGGACATAATGTCACCTCATTTTCCTTTCCCATACAGTACCTGGTAAACTTATGGGTAGACCAACAAGCAGATCCTTTTAAGATAAATGACACTGAAATATTGGTCAGTTCCTGGGCCGTATTTCTATCCACTGCCATCCTTCATATTTCTGTCTACAGATAACAAATTAACCTTTTCCTAAATCTCATTCCCTGCTAACATCCCTCCTCCACTTTTTGGCATCAACAAGCATTTAGATGCCTAAATCAACTCTTCCCCCTCAAAAACAGCCACCTCTTAAGTTTTGAGGTATTTTTAACATAATTATTGAAAGGATTGTGTAAAGTGCAGAAGGCTTTGTAACTTTGGTGTGTGTTGTTTCTATCCCTTTCAGTCCTCTCAACCTTTTTAGCGGTGCTGTCCTTTGAAAGCCGCCTCCTCACCCTGCCTTTTGAAACCAGTTTTAATATTGATGTATTTGACCAACAGTACTCTTGTCTGTTAATAAATAAGAGATCTCTATATTTCACATGTGTTGCTTTTCATTGTCTTTGCTAATGGGTGTAGCTGGGTGGAAATGCCAGAGAATTTTTATCCTCATGACATATGAATCATGCTAAAGAATCACTTGTAAGGTAACTTTTTGCAGATGGCAGTACCCATACCAAAGGTTTCCTGATGAGTGGCATTTCTATTCCATTAAACACATTAGGTTTAATGTTTTAATTTTAATGTTTTTACTTTTGAAGTAAAAAGGAGGAATGAATCTAATCTTGTCCCAGCTAGCTAGGCGATTCTGGGAGTTGTTTCATATTCAAAAAATGGTCACTTTCCCACATGCTTCCCATTTCTGATCTATTGAAATGTATCACAGTTAAAGTTGTTCTTTGTTGGTTGTGAATTGCTCATCAAATATAAAATAAATAAAAACTAGCTAGTATTTTAGGGCCATGATAATGGTGGATGTATTGTACCACTGATGAGAAAGTAAAGGATAGAAATGGGCACAAAGTTCTTCATTCCCATCTCCAGTAAGGAATCATCTTACTGCATCACATTGTTTTCAATTAATATATTTCAAGGTGTGTGGAGGAAAATGATCATTCTTTCTGGTCATAATGGAGTCATTTGCTTGAGCAAGGAAGTTAATTAGATGATTCTGTAACAGCATAATAGGGAACATGTGGCCCTCCAAATATAGTCAGACTGTAACTCTTATCTCTCACTATTAGGAACACTGGCTGGGGTTGATTGGAGCTGTAATCCAAAAACATCTGGATAGCTGCAAGTTCCCCCAACCCTATATTAGAATTATTCTTACTTCACACTGGGCATCCTTGAATCAATGCACTACATGTTTCATTGTGACCTTTTGCAGCACAAAGCAGGGAAACAATGCTGTTCCTTTCAAAAGAGCCTGTTGAACTTTCATTCTGGCAGTGAATTATTACACATGCAGGTTTCCTAACTTGTAATAATCTTAACCTTGGGTAGAACATGTGAAGCAAGTTAAAGCCACCTGTCAGAGCAGCATGCGTAGAACTCAGGGGACAGACCTGCTGATCTTGTGCTACACAGGCTGTTACATTAAATATATTTTGACCTGGGCAAATCCCTCCCAATCCTAATGTTAAAAGGGGCTTTATGTCATGAGGATAAAAAGCTCTTTCATTGCTGGAGATTTAATTTGTTTAAAACAATTAAAGTGAAGAACAAAAAGCAAAGAGCATCAGAATGAGGAAAAGGGGATGCTGTAATGGTGGGGGATATGTGGGAATGATAGATAACAAGAGATGTAGTGAATCACAGAAGATGGATAAAACATGTAAATGTACAAAGGGAAAACTATAGTGTGACAAATACAATAATTTTAGAATTGTAGAGCTGGAAGGGACCTATGGATTATAGAGTCCAGCCTCTGACAAGGAGGCAAAGGGAAGAATCAAAGTCCTAATCTCTGGCTCCACTAAACCATTGAGCAGTCCTGGATTTAGCGGTTAGGACAAGGGGCTGACCAACATGTGGCAATTTAGAGATTGCTCTACTGCAACTCCCACCAGCCAGCTACAGCTCCCAAAGCTACATCTGGAGGGCCACAGGTTGCTCACAAATGGATTAGAGTGGTAGACTGGGAAAACTGGAATTCGTCTATCCACAATTACAAAGCTACAAAGCTTACTGAGCCATTTTCATCTGAGTTTATATTGCCTCAAAGACATCCACAATTACACTATGAGCTATCCACGTCTCACAGCAAGTTGTTTGTGAAGATACCTCATCCTGAGCTCTCTGGAAAGATAATGAAATAAAGATTGGTAAAAAAAAGAGGAAAAAAAGGTTCTGTGAACATATCTTTGATTCTTCTAGTGTTAACTCCAGTGGAACAGCTAGAATTTCAACAGGTGAAGCTATTCCTAACATGGAAGACTAGAGACATTTCAGCTTCTGGATATTTTGCTGTCATGCACATGTTACCAGAAAGGTGATAATTCTATTTTTTGGTGTTTGTAGTGCAATAAAATAATTTTAAGGGTGGGGAAACTTGGGAAGAACTAGTGAAGGAATGGTCAGATAAAACAGTCTAATCAGCATTTGGGGAATGGCAATGGGATTTTAATGTCTGAGGGCATTTCTACGGTTGGTAAAATCTGAAAACGATTTGTTATTGCCAATATGGTATGGTGTCAGAAGGACAGTAAAATGTTCTAATTATCAGCAGTGGTTTGATGTCCATATGGCCATCCATACTTTATTGCGTACATGCTGCACATGTTCCAGTTCAGGATTGTTGTACTTTAATCATTGTTTTGTTTTTAACTTGTATTTGTTTGTTTTTTAATGTCATACATTACGATCAGCTAATTCAAAAAATGAATCATCCCAACCATTTTAGTAGTACAGTACTGTAGTAACACCAGCTTGCCAAATGAGCAGGAAGAAAAAAAAATGCCCTAACCTGCTTTTGTGCTTCCAGTAAGTTTTGGTCAGCAGACATTTACTGTTTATTATCCAAGCCAATTGTCAGTTTTATATTGGAAAAGGGCCTACAAATATAAGAAAAGAATAAAATCAGGAGGTGCTTATGTTTATCTCCATGTTGCACAAAGCTTCCCCTGCCGATTTCTGCAGTTGTCAGGGCACAGGAGCAGACTAGGGTGGTTATTCTCTGGTTACTTGGCAACCACCTAGCCAGAGAGGTAGAGGCCCAGGCACTTGGACATTCCACACCCCTAAACAAAATTGCTAGTAATTAATTATGATTTGCACATCTTGTGGGAAAGTGAAGGAGCCTGAGCCCAAATAACGGCGAAACACTAGGGGGTAAGGAATGTATTGAGCGTCTTCCTTAATGATCTATTTTATTTCAAAGGGGCGGCGGCTTTTTATGCGGGAGTAGAAGCTAGGAAAATCCAGGCTTGGCAGCTCGCCCGCCTCACCGCAGGCCTCGTTGCCACAGTGACAGCGTCGCTCACTGCCTGGAGCTCCTCGGCCAGTTGTTTTCCCTTTCACTCCCACCTATTGGCCGCCAGCCATCCCTCCGCGCGACTGATTGAATGGTGGGCCTGTCCGTCACGTTGACGAGGGTGGGACAGCTGAATCGTGGGTAAATACAAGAGTCTTGGTTGGGTGGCGGAGGGGTTCTGTGGGGCTGGAGCGGGGCTATAAGAGACTCCATTTTAAGACAAGTCGAATGGCAGTAGTATGAGCAGTGCCAACATAGCGAGCTAGGAGGGACGTTCAAGGGTGAACTCATCAGCATTGTAGTAACAGGCGAGGTAGAAACGAAGTGGGGCAAAGCCTGTCCTGGTGCAGCAAGAAAGAGCATTGAATAGCAGGTTATGTGTGTATTAGCAGGAAGTGTGGATACTAGCACCCAGTGATCGCAATAGCTATACACTATAAGTCCGGCCGAGGAGAAGAAGAAGGAGAATTTGAATTCAAAGTAAGTCCAGGGATGGAGAGGCAGATGGAGGGCTGAGAATAGGGTGGGGAAGGGCTGTGGTGAGTACTGCTACCAAAACCTAATGGTTCTCTATAGATCGACACACAAAAAACCTAGAGTTTAAAAAGTTTCCTTTTGGACTACAGGTACAGCTGATCTGGAGATTTTGGGAGTTGTAGTCCCCCCAAATTAATATTTCCAAGCAGTTGAGAAACATGTGCTATGATTCCATGCCCCTACTTCTTAGTAAGGTATTTAAAATAGAGGAGGCTACATTATATGAACAGTTCAGTTTCACATATGCTGCTCAGAAGCAAGCTCCACTTAGTTCAAGGGAGGTTTACTCTTAGATATAAAGACATAGAATTGCAGTCCATTTGTCTGAGTAGCCCAGTGTTCTTTATTCTGCCTAATACCAGCTCTCATTGATCTCTGATACACTTCTTTAAAATCACCTGTTGCTTTAACAGGTCCTTTAGAAAAAAATAAGAGGGGAAAGGTTGAAACAGAAACATTTTTCATGTCAAGGTTGTGCTGGCCCCATTGAGCAGTTTGTGGGTTGTACAGTTTACAGTTGGAAAATGGTGCAGTGGGAAAAGGTAGGCAGGTTTCACTTGGTGCTTTTGTTCTAATAAAATAAGAGCCACCCTATACTTTTGATCTGCTTAAAAAGATTAAATTGTGAGATTCAGTTACTGATCTAACAAAATGGCTGTTTTTGCGTGCCTCTCTCTCTCTCATACACACACCTGAAGGGAAATGGAGAGTAGGATCTAAGAAGCTGCTTTGTACCACGTTTATCTCTTTGCCTCTGTAATATCTGCACTGACTATTAGATGCTTTCCAGGGTTTCTGTTTTTCCCTAAGTCCACCCGGGAATGCCAGAATTAGAATGTGATACCTGTGTGCAAAGCAGGTACATTGGAAGATGCCTTTGGCTGAGTCTGATGGTGGGTTCATCTTGCCTGGTATTGTTGGTACCAAACCAGCAAATGCTGTTCACTATTTCAGGCAGCAGGAATATTTCCTAGCCCTGCCCAGAGATAACTAGCAGTCAAAGCTGGGATTTTCTTCTGCATATAAAGCATGTACTTTGCCACTCTGAGCTGCGATCTGTGGCTGCTCAGCTCTGTGTGGGCATTGAATGCAGGTTTAATAACAGCTATAGAGTTGAGAGCAATATGGCCAGGGAGTTTTCCTCCTGGATAAGATTCTTTCTGGATGGTATTGTTTGCTATCGGTGAATGCCATTCGAGAGCTCATTTGCCTGGATTTTTTAAAAATGGTAAATTCTGAACTATAAGCCGCCCAGAGACCTTTGAGTAGAGTGGGCGGCATATAAATTAAATAAATAAATAAATAAATAAATAAAATTCTGCCAACAAAGGAACAGAATTCTGTAAGATTGCTGTGAGCGAGATAAACCAAGCAAGTAGTATTCAATTATCTGATTGATTAAACCATTTTGGTTTACTGAGATGGTTAAGCACAAACTTCATTTACGCTTAGTAAACCCAAAACCAGTAATTTGGGTTGTTGACATTCATGCTGAGTTAGATACTCCTTGCTCCAAGTCCAAATTAGTGCAGCCATGAAACAGGAGGCTTGTGGAATATATTAGTGGCCGCTCAAGAGACAGGAGGGTTAATAGCTGGAGTTAACCTGTACATTTCCCCAGTGATCTCTTGGGGACTTTCAGTACAGTAGTTCTTAGATCACCAACATGTACTGTATGTGTACACAAGGCTTCCTTGCCACCTCAGTCTTCGAACAGCATCTGTCCCATAAGCCCTGTGGGATCCTTACAGGCTTGTCCCTTTCTATGACTGTCTTGTTCTTTCTATGCAGCCATGATAGCAGCTGGGAGTGGCAATGGCTTTGGCACCACAGCTTGGTGGGGCTTTTCACCAGCACTTGACCTTCAAGCTGCATGTAAGTTACTGCTTTTTCCAACACTATATTTTTGCCCCCTTTGCTTATGGTGAAATTGGACTTTCCTCTCTCACATGTCGTGTATAAGTCATTTGAGACTTCTGGTCCAATATATCCTGGCTCTGCTGTGCACTTAGTACTGAGATATCCGCGCCTTTGGGATTAGGCAATGACTGCCATGCTAGGGGTGTCTCCTCAGCTGAAGGGGTGGCTTTAAAGCAGGATTTTTCTGTATATTTTACCTGGAGCTTGAAAGTGTTTTTCTCTTCTTAAGGGTATTTTGCTTGAACAGAAACTTTTAGTCAGTGTATAGTATAGTATGGTATTGTTTGATCTTCTTAAGCATTTGTATATTCACTGTTGTAAGCTTTAAATGCTGTCTTTTGGAGATGTAAGCCACCTTAAGTCCTTTTTAAGAAGAAAGTCAGGGTAAAAATATTTTAAATAAATAAATTCTCTAGGATGCTTCTCTGATTCCACGGGAATTTACTGCAGAATTTTAGTTCCTGAGAATGTCAGCTTCTTTATAAATGGGAGAATGGTGGGAGATAACAGACAAAACTAGATCTTCTGGGATGCAGAGCCACATATGAAAAAGGATATAAGGGTCTTGGTAGATCCCAAACTTAATAGAAATCAACAGTGTGATGAGGCCAAAAAAATAAAATAAAATAAACCACCAAGTGCAATACTCAGTTGCATCAAGTGTCAGTGGTGTGTGTCTGGACCTGTCTGCCTTGGTCAGATTTCACCTGGAATACTGTGCCCAATTCCAGGCACAACCGTTTAAGAAGAATATTGAGAAGCTCAAATGTGTCTAGAGAAGGGTGGCTAAGAGAGTAAAAGGTCTGGAAAGCAAGCCCTGTGGGAAACGGCTGAAGGAGCTGATTATGTTTAGCCTGGAGAAGACTGAGAGGTGATGTGATAGCTAAAGCTATATTCAAATATTTGAAGGGCTGTCACATAGAAGATAGAGCAAGCATGTTTTCTGTAACTCCAGAGGGCAGGACCAGAAGAAACTGATTCAAATTATGAGAAACCAGATTTTGCCTAAGCATATAGAATAACTTCTTGAAAGGAAGAACTGTTAAACAGTAAAAGGGACTGCTTTAGAAGATGGTGGACTGTCCTTCCTTGAAGGTTTTCAAATGGAGGTTAGATGCCCATCTGTCAGAGATGCTTTAGCTATGGATTTCCTGCTTTGGTGGAGGGTTACAATTGACGATCCTTAGGGTCCCTTCCAGCTCTACAGTTCTGTGGCTCTGATTTGAATAGCTCCATGTTAGCAAAAGACACCAGTTCCTAACTTTTGAGACCTTTTGAGTTTCTGTTCTCGTGGCTTCTACACTGTGGACAGATACAGTTCTTAGGACAACCTTGCTCTTGAGATGCACATGTCATGTTTCAGATACATGTACAGTGGTGCCTCACTTGATGACATTAATTCGTTCCAGCAAAATCGCTGTAGAGCGAAAACGTCAAACGAAACAAAAAAGCCCATTGAAACTCCTTGAAAACCCTTCAATACGTTCCAGTGAGCTGAATACCTGCTCGTTTTGCGGAGATCCTCCATACGGCGGCCATTTTCAGTGCCTGTAAAGCGAGGAATCTGTCCCTAGAAAACAGCAGGAGGCCATTTTGACAGCTGGCGGCCATTTTGAAACCACCGATCAGCTGTTCAAAAAACATCATTTTGCGAAGAATCGGTTCCCTGCTTTGGGAACCGATCATCGCAAAGCGAAAAAAGCCCATTTAAAACATCGTTTTGTGATCGCAAAAACCTCATCGTAAAGCGATTTCCTCATTAAGCGAGGCAATCATTAAGTGGGGCACGCCTGTACCATCTTCTTTCCCACAGATCATGTTCAAGAGAAATCTCTGTATCTACTTTGCTACTGAAGTTAGTTTTGCACAGTGCTGACTAGCAGTCATGAAACCACACCACCCTCCCCTTCTTCAATCCAGATATCTGAATGTAAATAGAAAACCTGATAAAAAGGGGGGGGGGAACAGGGCTCTGAAAATCATTGTTTGAGCTGACTATGCAGGCACTTTAGAAATGAAGCACAAAGTCTGCCTCAAGCATGTCTGAGAGATGACAATCTGTATCAAATTCAGAATCAAGTGTATTCCAAAGAAATAGCTGTGTTAGTATATACAGTATGTCTTTTGAGGGTGAAGACAGGAGCAAGGAAGTGTTGTCCTGCATCCAAAACAACCACGCCTATTGCAGTTTTTATGTATTTCTCTGATAGCCTCATATGTCATTTAAAATAATGCTTACATATCTTGCTTGAAGAGTTTGGTTCCCAAGGCAGTTTTCAGTAAAAACACACAGAGGTGCAATACAGTTATATATACACTCTGGCCAGGAAACAATAAGGAGACATCGACTTGGGACCGGCTGATTGTAAAGTTATCAACCCAAAGTTGAATTGGAACTGAGCTCTCCTATTGAACTGCAGACTCTTTCAGGCATTTTCCTTCCTCTTATACTGCCTTCTTTTCAATAGATTCCACATAGTAAAAGAACCCGGTAATGCTGAGTTCTGGGGGGAAAAAAGTTAGAATGGCCAAGTTTTTACATATAGCATTAACTTTTTTTAAACTTCCAACGTATCTTTTGCTGTTTTTGTGTTTTTCTGTTTCTCTTTTGGGTTTTGTGTGTGTGTGTGTGTGTGATATCTTTTGCTGTTTTTGTGTTTCTCTGTTTCTCTTTTAGGTTTTGTGTGTGTGTGTGTGTTTTGTTTTGCGCATGTAGACTTTCTTGAGTTGGAAAAAATGATTTGTGTTTAGTGGGTGCACGAACAGCCTTTCACTTTGCCAGCAGGCCTGGAGACCTCAGTTGAACGTTTGCAGGCATCCCAGGAAGGCATTCCCAGCTTGAACATCCTGCTTGTGGGATCTATAGATGGCCGCCATATCCTCAAGACAATGTGTCAAGCACACCGGTGGCCACGGAGAAAAATCAATGTGCGTAATTCTCTCTTCCACCACAGATTTCCAGATTGTCTTGGGTCTGTATGCAAGTGATTCCTTGTTATGCATTTTGCAGTTCTTCTTCTTGCTTGCAGGTACCATACATTTGCTTCACATTCTTTATCACTTTACCTCTTACTTTGAAGTAACTGGACGGTTCCTTGGCATGTGTGATGTAGCTTTGCATGCCTCCTGCCTTTCTAGGTAAATTGTATTTGAAATCATAACATTTGTTTCATATCAGAATACCAGGACAGGGTAAATTTCAAAAGGTTATGAACTGCATAAAAAACAGTTTGGTCCATGTTTTCTGCAGGGAAATAAATATCTTCTACAACACAGATTCTTCTATCTATCTATCTATCTATCTATCTATCTATCTATCTATCTATCTATCTATCTATCTATCTATCTATCTATCTATCTATCTATCTATCTATCTATCTATCTATCTATCTATCTATCTATCTA